ACGCTGCAGACTTCAGTGAGCCCTTAAACCGAATAAGTCAGAGTGGCCCCACCGAAGCTCCCTCTCTTTCTGCCGTGACCCAAGGTTCCACTCGGATTGGTTACCGCATCTCGCACATGGGTTGCTCACGTTGCCCAGAGTGCGCGAACGAGGACGCAAGAGTCGGGATTGAGTATAGCCATGCAACTGTAACTGCATACCAAGCGCAATGACTATACCCCATTGCACTCCGTCATATTGACTGCCTTAGGTGAAACTTCTTTAACAATTCTTTGCCTAATAATATAGTTTAATGTTTTTTTATTTTCTCAGTATACACATTTTGTTTTCTTAAAAAGGTATTTTATCTATAAAAAAGCAAGTTTTGTTTAAAAAAAATAATGAAATTTTATATTTTCTCCCAAATTGGGATTAATTTCTTGCCGTTTTTCTTCTTATTCTACTGAGCTAAGGCAGTGTCAAATCGAGCTGTCACAACTGATACCACCTTGTGTCATTGCATCATGATACATACATATGTGTATATATGTATATATATATCTGCATGTGTACATACAATTCTTTACTCGAAATTCTTAGTTGATGCAATTTTTATCCTATACATTTTTTCTGACCAAACAATATGTTTGCCTGTCTAATCTGCTTGCCTCATTTGCCTCGCTCGTCTGCTGCTGAAAATGAGTGCCTCGGTCGCAATGACGCCCTCGCGAGGGCAGAGCTAATCAAGTCCTCGGTTGCTTGCCGCTCTACTCTTGCGCCGCCAGTGTTGCCAGTGTGCGGGATTTCATGACTAATTCTATGACTAAAAAGGGCGAATGGGATATTCTGTCGAAAAACGGGATTTTTCGCATATCATACCAAGCAATAAAATTTAGTGAGTAATGGATAAATATGAAACAGCTCATTCACTTGATATTAATTTTAATAGCAAGTTTTTGAGTTATACAGAAAGTAATTTGGAAAAATATAAAGTGCTTGAAGTTAGGAAAACGTGTGGGGAATTCGGGAAGTTGTGTATTTTGAAAATATTAGAAAAATTTCGAATCAATAAGGCAGCTCACTCTTTGATGCGAAAAGCAGAAATTAGCGTTTGTTTTGCTGCTTTGCTGTGCGTTTAAGCGAAACGACGCCATAACGGTGCCATACCTTTGTTGTAAAAAACTGCCGATTTTCGCTTAAACGCCTTTTCAAATATCTCGAGTTTGTAGATTCTGAAGTTGTTTTAAATGAATGTAAAATAATCAACTGCGAGTCTTTAGAAAGCGTAGTGGTATACACAGATGTTGACCACTTTGATTTAAACGATGAATGAAAAAGTATTTTGAGTGCTTTTATAATCAAAAAAATTAAATTAGCGATGTACAAACCTTTGGGGGGTTGTCGTTAAAAAAGGGCAGTAAATGGAGATTTCTTATATCAAAATTCAATGGATATATATAGTTTTGCAATATATTTTCATTATTCTTACCATTCTTATTCTAACTGCCTAAGAATTTTCTTATTGCTTACTGAGATCAAAACGAAAAAGATAATCAGAATAAACGAGTAAGCATTCGAAATAAAGATAATCGAAGGAGGAAGGAATCGTCAAAAATTAAATCAATCTCCCAAGATCGATTCATATATTTTGTTAAATAACGTATTTTACTTTATTTTTATAAAGAAACAGAGATCAGACCAAACTTTTATTGTACATAAGTCATTTCTAAAACATACATACATACATTGTTCATAACGGTTTCAATATTTGAAAAAAGGTGTGAGATATGGTGTTTCTATACTAAGACAATCATATGATCATTCAACAGAAACTTCATAATAGGCAACGAAATTACAAAAAATGTATCCCATTTTAAAAAGGCTATGTGGAAACAAACACAATGACACGAATAGTGTTTAATGCCCAATAGAGTGGTTCAAATTTTTGCGTTTAATGCCTTGTTTTGTTTTTTTTTTTAACACAAATGAGAAAAAAGTTTACGTTTTACTTCAAAATTAACTTCTATTTTAAGAAGTTGAATGCCGAATTTCCACTAGGCATTGAAATGACGAAAAATGTCAGCCATTTGAAAAAATGCCAGGTGGAAGTTAACTTAATGACTATTTTTTTCACATGATATTTTTTAATGCCCAACTTTGTCATATGTAGGGGAAATCCAGCATAATGGAATTTATTTTTTATATGTATATATATTGTATGCAATGGGGCGTTTTTTAGTTTTTTATTTTGTTTTCGCTGACTTTATATTTCACCTAATTATCCTTTAAAAAATATATAAAAAGAGTTCTTAAGGTGTGAAAGTTTTTTATGAAAATTTGCATTAAGTTGGGAGTTACAAATTTTTGGAGTTTTTGTTGTATTATTAGCCATAATTTTGTATAGAGTTAATTTCAAGAGGCTTCTCTGAGGAGCCCTATAATCGGATGGGAAAGGTCATTGAATTCATTGGTCTTTGCTTTCCCATGTATTTTTTTTTTTGCATCAGTCAAAAATTCAAATGTCTTTAAATTTTTATAGATTTTCTGGGGCAAACCGTAGTTCAATAAAAATCGAATGTCGATTCCCGAATTTTTGAATCGATTCTCGGATCGAATCGGAGCTAAAAAATCGACAAAAATCGAATAGGAATGGCTCGATTAATCGATCTGCGATTTAGTCGATTTAAAAACGGCATCTCTAGTAAGCATTAAATGCATATGTGCAGTCAAATCTAATTTACTTAACAAACAATTATTGAATTTTTAGGGGTTTTTGGCGGACCTATACAATATAGTTACTATGAAAAAATGGTTAAATAAAAAATTGGGTATTATTACTGGGAGTCTCCTGAAGGGAAAAATTTCGATCGAAAAATATTGAGTTTCATGAATTCTATACCATTTCTACGAAAAGTTATTTTTCCCATATAAAATACATAGAAAACTTTAAGCGCATCGAGCGACCACTAAATATTTTTTAATTTATAATAAAAAGCAGGGGTATATTTTTTCGGTATAGAACAATCCTAGGGGGTGAGAGCATTAAAATTCCGACTATACTTTTTCCCACATGCATTTTTGTACCACCCTAATGTAAATACTTGTGTTTTTTCATCCGAAAGCATTTTATGTATAATGGATATATACAGCGCGGGATTTCTATTATAACTTTGTATAAATCGGGATTTAGGTTATATTTGGATGGGATTTTATTAATCCATTCACTGGCAACACTGTGCGCTGCCCTCATTTGCTTACTCGCTCGCTGGCTGCTCAGCGCGTGCGCCAGTGATCGGACTTCCAAAAAAATGNTTTGTAATTCTGCATTTTTCAGCTGCACGCTACTGAGTGTACTCGAACCCACCATTTGTGCTTGCTGCAAAAACTCCCGCTGCTTCTCAGTCTCACTAGCCAAGCTAGTTATTTGCTTGCTGAGCTCCTCCTCTTTTGATTTGAAGTCCAANTTATCGCATCACGATGTAGCGAACAAATGTGGCACGTTCCAGAAACCGCTACTTGGGATTTGCCGATTTTGACAATTCTCAAGTGAAAGTAAACAACGCTTTAGAAACTTTAGATGCACTGATATTTGCTAATACTTTCACGAAAATCGCCGTTTTTTAACATTTTCGCGATTAATTAATTTAATTTTAATTTAATACAATAAAAAAACGTTTCCTGTCGAAAAATTTAATATTGAAAACNGTCTGTTCTGCACTTTTGAGCTGCGCTTCGAAATTTTCGATAATCTTATTTCGCTCTCTCAAAAAAGTGGCAGATCTACCACAATGTGGTAGAAGTCCGATCACTGGCGTGCGCTCATACTTAACGAGTGCTCGTTTGTAAACAGCGTCGCCTGTTGCTCGTGAGTTGCGCAAGCTCAGAGCAAACTAACGAGTGAGGTCGGTGTTATGCAGAAATTTTGTTTGGCAAACTGCGTGCAATTGTTGTTGCAGCAAACTCGGGGAGAGCGAGTTTGGCGACTCTCACAGCAAACTAATTTTGTTTGGTCCAACTGCAGCCAATTCGGCGTTGTCATATACAAAAATTTTAGACAATTGTTGCTATACACAAAATTCTCATTTCGTGTTGGCAATAGCCATGAAAACCATAATGAACGTGCAACCCTGNGAAGTCCGATCACTGGCGTGCGCTCATACTTAACGAGTGCTCGTTTTTAAACAGCGTCGCCTGTTGCTCGTGAGTTGCGCAAGCTCAGAGCAAACTAACGAGTGAGTGAGGGGCTAAAATGAGACAAATCCGAACCCTTCATATGTACAATATACGGTAAACTCTATAAAATTGTGAAATCGTGACGTCTCAGCCTTCTTAATTTTTTGGCAACAACAAAAAGTTTTGAACTTTTTTATCGAAAAACCTTTCACTCAGAAGATCTAAAAAATTACTTTTTACAGAATTGAATTTGGTTCAGCTGTTTGGTCATCTGAAATACATTTCATTTATATATATATATATATTTTCTATAAACTATTGGCACTTTCGCCCAAATTTTAACCCTCCGTAAATAAAATTTACGACCTTCTGGACTAGTACAGTTTTCGGCAAAGTTGATCCTGGAGGCGTTCTTTCCATAAATATTAGCGTTTGTTCGTATTGAATAACCAGTGTTGGGCAGTGTTATCTTCAAGGATGTCTATAACAGCTCCATGAGCATGTCCTATGCATGACTATCTTCAAAATTTAGTGATTGCGATACACTGACAGTAGTAAAAGTAGTTTGACGCAACATTTAAGGTTTTTTTTTAATAATAAGTCGGCTTGTTCGTAGAAAAACACGAAATGAACAAACATGAAGCTTTGTAGTTGTTTAAATATCAGACGAATTATTTTTATTAAATATTAAATTTTTTTGCTATCTAATTTAATTACATGTTAATTTAGAAAATAAACGTCAAACAAGTATTTAATTAACAATATCTAGCAGTTTTCTCAACGGCATAGAGCACAAATACTTGTACAAACAAATTCGTCAATTCAAAGAATACAGAAGTTTGATGCAGTTCTTTGTAAACGATATTTAATAGTTTATTTTAATACAATAGTATAAAGTAAATAACACTGATGCATTTTCGTATACGTGTACGTACATATCTCGAATGAAAGCATAGCAATATATGTACATATGTAGCAAACTGTGTGGCCAAGTAGGATTTATAACAATATATTTTCATTTCTTCCTTGATTATCACAAACGCAGAATCTGTTGTAATGGAGATTATGTATTAACAAGTATTTTTTTAAGAAAAAACACAACCGACTTCATTGCTCATATCAAAATTTAGGAGTACCGTTAATTTCTTCATGACCTAATGAACGGAACTAAACCAAACCACCCTTGATAAAAAATAATAATTATTGAAAACGGTTCCCGTGGTTCTAAGTTATACGGTAACAAATGTTAATAAAAATTGTTATAATATCGCAAAGGATCGAAAAATTCAATATCATGAGGTTGAAAGCGTATAGTCGATATGGATATTCATAGACCCAGTTACCACTCATCATCATCGCACTCTCCGGTTTCGTGGCCAAAAACTGAATATGATGGGGAAACAATTAGTTAAGAAATATTTTAGAAACATTTTAATTATGCTTTTAATGAAATCTTACCTTCGCATGTTTCACAGTATTTTCGCGGTTCTGGCAATTTGCGATCCTTTTTCTTCGCTGGATCGTTCAGCGGAGGAGGTGAGTAGTCGCGATCATCGGATGCTTGAAGGGGACAGTCTTCGGTTTCGTGTTTGTCGAATTCATCACATATATCACAAAATACACGTGGTGCTGGCTTCCGTTTCGCGATCAGCTCAAATGCTTTAGGCCTAGGTAAGAAACACCGCAGTGATAGAAAATCGCATTATAATACCTAAGNCGAAAAACCTTCCACACAGAAGATATAAAAAATTACTTTTTACAGAATTGAAATTGGTTCATCTGTTTGGTCATCTGAAATACATTTCATTTATATATATATATATATTTTCTATAAACTATTGGCACTTTCGACCAAATTTTAACCCTCCGTAAATAAAATTTACGACCTTCTGGACTAGTACAGTTTTCGGCAAAGTTGATCCTGGAGGCGTTCTTTCCATAAATATTAGCGTTTGTTCGTATTGAATAACCAGTGTTGGGCAGTGTTATCTTCAGGGATGTCTATAACAGCTCCATGAGCATGTCCTATGCATGACTATCTTCAAAATTTAGTGATTGCGATACACTGACAGTAGTAAAAGTAATTTGACGCCACATTTAAGGTTTTTTTTTTAATAATAAGTCGGCTTGTTCGTAGAAAAACACGAAATGAACAAACATGAAGCTTTGTAGTTGTTTAAATATCAGACGAATTATTTTTATTAAATATTAAATTTTTTTGCTATCTAATTTAATTACATGTTAATTTAGAACATAAACGTCAAACAAGTATTTAATTAACAATATCTAGCAGTTTTCTCAACGGCATAGAGCACAAATACTTGTACATATAGTATGTATAACAAACAAATTCGTCAATTCAAAGAATACAGAAGTTTGATGCAGTTCTTTGTAAACGATATCTAATAGTTTATTTTAATACAATAGTATAAAGTAAATAACACTGATGCATTTTCGCATACGTGTACATATCTCGAATGAAAGCATAGCAATATATGTACATATGTAGCAAACTGTGTGTAGGATTTATTNTGCTCTTGCAGCTTTTTGGTATCCTCAAGTGCATTGGACTGTGCCAATTTCAACTGCTCGGTTTCGTTACGACTTATCGTCAGTTGATCTTCCTTCGTGACCATCTCAGCGTGCAAGCTGTCAATACTCATTTGTAATTCTGCATTTTTCAGCTGCACGCTACTGAGTGTACTCGAACCCTCCATTTGTGCTTGCTGCAAGAACTCCCGCTGCTTCTCACTCTCACTAGCCAAGCTAGTTATTTGCTTGCTGAGCTCCTCCTCTTTTGATTTGAAGTCCAGTTGGGATTTCAGCAACTCATCTTGCAAGAGTTTTATTTGATGCTGCAAACTGGAAATCGCCTCATCCAATCTGCTCTTCGTCTGTTCTGCACTTTTGAGCTGCGCTTCGAAATTTTCGATAATCTTATTCCGCTCTCCAGCTTCCTTCTCTTCTAAATCTCTCAACTGCTGTGCTGACTGAGTCTGAAGTTTTGATTGTAGCGCTTCAAACACTTTAGCCTGTGCAGTTTTTGATTCCACTGTCACTTGCAGCTGACTGCGCAGCCCATCCGCATCCTGAATACTTGTTTGAAGACGCTGTTCTAATTCTTGCGCCTGATTTTCGTATTGGAGGCATTCTGCGGCTGACTTATCTGTAAGGTCCTGCAGCAATTTCTTATTCTTAGTAAGCTCATTGTTCAGTTTTGTTACAACTTCATTTAGGGTGGTCGAGCCGTCCTGCGAGAAATCCAAATCCTGCTGAAGTTTCTTATTTTCGGCTTCTAACCCAGTGTATTTTGAAAAGAGCGCCTCAAGCTTGCGTGATAATACGCCCAGTTCGAGTTCCTGTTTGCCGCACTTTTCTTGCTCCAGCTTGAGTAATTCATTTCGCTTAAAGCTATCCGCTGTCGCGATTTTCATCTCCTGTGTAAGCGTTTCTACTTGGCTGCACAAGGCATCGATGCGCTGTTGACTCGCCTGAAGCTGCCCCTGGAGAACGCCGCGCTCCGTGTTTGTTTTATCTAAAAGTTCATCGTAAGCTTTCTGTTTTGCTGCCGCTTGCTGTGTTATTTTCAACAGCTCACTATTCGAGTCAGTGGACGTTGTACGCAGCGTGTTCAAGTCTTCCTCCAGTGCCTTATTTTGTGTGGCCAGCGATTCATATTTACCTTGCAAATTCTCGAATTGCCGTTGACCGTCACTGAGTGCCAGCTCTAGCTTGATCGCCTTCTCCTCGAAAATAGCCAATTGTTCGTTCTTTTTTGATAGTTCGTTGCGGGTTCGTTCCAAAATTACGTGGGATTCTCCCAGTTGTTTCGTTGTCGTCAATAATTTCTGGTTGATCTCTTCTAGCTGGATTTCTAATTTCAATCGTTCATCGTTCCTGTTCGTTTGTGATTCGAGTAAATGCTTTTGACGTGTGGCAAGTTCTTCATTAAGTCTTCGCAGGTCGGACTGAAGCTCGGTGCAGTTCGAGCGCGCGGCTCGTACGTCGTTCTCCAGCGCTTCGTTATGTGTCTGCAGCATATCACTTTTTGTGCTTAGACTATCTAATTTGCGTGTCATATCGCTGATTTCAAGTTTTTGGCTAGCGCAGAGCTCACCTTGTGTCTTGCTGTTGGCCTCAAACTCAGCGCAATTGGTTAAAGCTGCCTCAAGTTCCTGCCTCAGTTTGCTCGCCAGATTATTTGTAGTGCCTAACGCAGTTGAGGTCGAATTCAAACTTTCGATTTTCTCAGCAAGTAGACGCTCCTGCTGCGCATGTGCCTCTGTTTTTTCTTTCAACGCAGCTTCCTTAGATTTGACATCGTCCTCGAGCCGTCTTGTTTGCGATTCGAGTTCGATGATTCTGGAGCTTAATTGTTGTACACTTGCCGATGAATCGCTTTCCAAACTCTTTACGCGTTGTTGCAGTTGGGTGATTTCAATGATGAGAGCCTCCACCTCCTTCTGCTTTTCTGTTAAGCTTGCCTGCGATTTTTGTTGCTCGCCTTTCAGTTGCTCTTCCAGATTCGTACTTGTCTTTCCTAACTCCTTAAGTTGCTCTCTATACATTCTTTCCTTTTCTTCCAACAGTTTTCGCAGCTCTGCTTCTGAAGAATTGGCGACAGTGTTGGCTTCCTGTTGCTTCTTCAGTTCGGCCTTTAGCTTTTCATTTTCCACTGTAATTTCACTAATCTGTTTTTTCAATTCTTCCATAACCATACCCAGCTGCGTTATGCCCACTAGCTTTTCTTGATCGGCGCTAGTCGCAGCCTGCAACTTCTCCTCGAAACTCTTCTTCAGCTCAGTCAAGCGTTTTACTTCTTCATTGGCCGTTTTCAGCTGCGTTTCTGACAGTTCCTTCACCTCCTGCAAGCTAACTATATTCCCATTTAATTTCTCCATTTCTAATAGATTTTCTTCCAACTGCGTCTTCGCCTGCAAAAAGCCCGCCTGTTGCGTCTTCAACAGTTCCTCCAATGTCGCATTCTCTGCCTTCTGCATGCTGTACTCCGCCTTCAATTTTGCCAATTGTTCGTTAATATCCTGCAGCTGTGTATCACGATTTTTGCACTCGGTACGGAGGATTTCGCATTCATCTTCAACATTGGATCGCTCGCTTTCTAGCGTTGTAAGCGAATTTTTCTGCGCTGTTATTTCGGCGCGTAGCGTGTCTAACAACAAATCCGTTTCCCCCAGTTTAAGCGCAAAATCGGCCTGCAATTGTTGGCGCTCCTTCTCGGCTTCTTCCTTAAGCAGATCCAATTCATGTCGCAGATTTTGTATGCCACACGCTGATAGCGAAAATTTCTCCAAGCTCTCATCTTTCTCCACCAGCTCCTTTTGCAATGTCTCATTTTCGTTTCGCAGGTATTCTATGTTCTCATGCAATCGTTTGTGCTCATCATCAGAGGTAGCAAGTCGTCCTTCATACTCGTCCTTTTGTTGTTGGAGTTGGACGGCAAGTTCGGATATTTTGGCAGTAGTCGCTTCTGTAGCCAAAGCAACGGCAGCAGCGGTATCTTCTGCGGACGGTGTAGATTTGGTAGCTATGTGTAAATGCATGAGTATAAATCAAATTACATATGTACATAACAACTTTTATGGACTCAATGATACGTATGTATGTACGAGTACATAAATAAGTAGATAGATATGTGTCATACATTTGTACATATGAGTCGTTTACTTGCCTTCAAATAGGAAAAAAACTGGCTAATAAGTTCTGGTGGAACCCAATCTGTCTAATAAAGGCCTTCCAATAATGAACCTGTTAAAAAAAGTTAGCTTTCATTCGAAATCAGGCACTTCTCAGGACATTTCCTGAGATTGTATGATCCTGTACAATGGCAATCCTCAGAAAAGCGCAGTGAAACTTACAAACTGCTTTAAAAATGAAATTGTAAAATATCAGATTCGGATTCATAAGAATCAGCTCCTATTTGCTGAGCCGTAACATTTTACTGGTCAATTCTGCAGGCGCTTTTAGCGTTGTTTTGGATGCTGCCTAGTGGAATGTGAAATTTTAATAATTTTGCTTGGACTTTTTTGAACATGGGGATTGGTTGTTAAAAAAAATAAATAAAAACCTCAGTAAAAGCAAAAGTCAAAGCATAAACAAATAAATTCAACTCATATTATGGACCTTTAGCAAAAAAAATTTGAGAATATTCCGAATCTGTGGTCAAAACGTGTATGTCCCATTTAAAAATGGACTTCCAGTCTGTTTAACCTACTTCTGATGGAAACCTGAAGTCGGTAATACGACGAGAAGATAGAGCATCCTCAACTTAATAGTTCGCATTTTTTTGATTTCCAATAAAAACCTTTTCCTGTGTTTCAGAAGTACAGGACGAGTTGAAGTGCGAGGGGCTTTAGAGGTTGAAAAAGGAAATACCTGAGAAAAAAGTTTCAAAATAGAGTTATATATTTTTGTCCGCGTAGTCCGAATCTGTGGTAAAAGAATGTATATTGCATTTAAACAAATGAGTTTCAGGTATAAAATCAAAATCTTAAAAGCTACAAATAGTTTTGTATGGGTGGTCAAGGTGGGCGTGGTACTATCCATTTGAATTTGGTCCTGTTCGTATATCAGCCATGACTTTCAACTTCGTAGCTGCATTAGTATAATTTATGCCAAAAAAAAGTTAGTTGAGACCAGTGTCCAGTGGCTGAAATGATATTATAGAGGCCAAATAGCAACGGAAAGCTACCAACTGCAGTTGCTATTCTTGGGTTCCCGTGGAGATTTTGATTATTTACATACACTTAGGGCCGGTTTCTCCATCTCTGGTTAACACTTACTACCCGGTTAAACATTGTTATCGACGTTCTAACTCCATGCATATAACAGGGAGTCGATAAGGTCGGTAACGATGTTTAACGGGGGATTAGTGTTAACCGGAGATAGAGAAACCGGCCCTTCGAGGTTAAATTAGTGGTGACATACCATTACGTCATAGCCACAACCGTTGCCATAACCGTAACCACATTAGCTATCATCGATTATAGGTACCATAACCATAAACAGCTGATTTTTCGTAGTCAACAATGTCGGTGTTGCCAGACGTGCAACAAGGTACTTGCGCATAACTTCCTGCATTATCACTAAATTAACACTAGATTGTTAAAACTCAACAGCAGATCATAATAAAATATGTAAATCAAATTAAAGGTACTTGTACTTTTTTAGTGATATAAATTTCTTTTGCATTAATTATGAAATTTTGTTAAAAAGGGGTTTTTTATGTAAAAATGCATATCAACAGAAAGATAAATTTTTGGGTTTTTTTTGCATCATTAGTTTTTAAATCGGTTATGTAGTTCATAAAATATTAATATTAAAAAAAAATCTAAAAATTTTAATTTAGCTTTTATATCTTTTTTATATTTTTGCGCCAAATAATTTTGGTACAGTCGAAATCAGCGTGAGATGTTCTATCAAGCCACCTTTTTTGGTTTTGCATAGCTAAATGGTTGATATTCTACACTTATGCACAAAAATATTTTTTTTGGACGTCTGGCCACACGCACTTCAGATATCAGCTGATATGGTTATGGCGGAAAACCAAAATTCAATTGGTCTCTATGACTATGGTTTGGCTATGGCGTTATGGTGGGGCACCACTAATCGAATACAGTGTTCGCCATAAGGTTGGTTGGAACAGCTGATTTATATAGTTTTGGTTATGTCACCACTAATTTAAGCTTAGCTCATAATTTTAGTTCTTTCAAAATTTTATTTTTTACAATTTTATGAAAATTTGACGATCGAGTCCATAATCGACTTTGACTCCATGAATTTGGCAGACATTCTTTACAGGCAGAGCTACTTTATTTAAATTTTCGATTTTTTTTCTCACTCATTGCTTTCAATTTATTTTGACCCTATTCATATAAGAGAACCTGGACGCCAAGTAAATTTTTTGTAGATATATATCGACTCATATGTACAACCCTACTAATACTTTTTAATAGCTCAAGTTTTCTTACCTATTGAAAGTTCTGACAATTTTTTCTCTAGCAATTGGATTTTTTCCTTATACACATGGGTTTGCACCTAAAACGTAAACATTTTTTAATTGTTAAAAAAGTTAGTAAAATTCGTAATAAAATTAATACCAAAAGTTCAAAGGCATGGATGGAATTTCACATTTTACTTACATAGTTATTATCAGGGACCATAACAGTTATAACTGTTATTAAAAAATCGCTCTTTAACAATAATTTTTTTACTTTTATTTAATTACTCCTTAAATAACCGTTATTTCTTTTATTTTATAAATCCAAAATAACAATTATTTTTGATTTTTATCTAAATAATCTGCAAATAAAAGTTATTTTTGATTTTTAAATTATATGTCTTTGATAACAGTTATCGAAGACTTTTATTTATAAAAGGCATAAATAAAAATCAGTCACTGACCTTTATTTTATAAATCATACTTATAAAAGTCATTTGTATAAGTCGTAGTAAACTTTTGTTTCCTAACACCTTCTTAACTGCGAAAAATGTTGATGACTTTTATACGAATGATTTAAAAAATAAAATTCGGTGACTGATTTATATTGATGACTTTTAAAAGTAAAAGTCACTGACTGATTTTTAATGATGACTTTTATAAATTAAAGTCTTCAATAACTGTTATCTAAGCCATATAATATTAAAATCAAAAATAATTGTTATTTTGGATTTATAATATAAAAATCAAAAATAATTGTTATTTTGGATTTATAATATAAAAATCAAAAATAATTGTTATTTTTTTTATATTTGCAAAAAAATTGCAAAAAAAATTCATTTTCAAATTTGAATCTCGGTGAAAAATCGATTGGTATGTATCACTTAGTTGTAGAACATTTCCTTTATAGTGAATTTTTCCATGACAGTTTTCATTAATAACTGTTATGTTCGGTCAGCATTTTAAATATGGGTAAAAAAGCCCATTCAAACTGGATAATTCTACTAGTATAAGGACTTGCATCGGTTGTAATGAGGTGTAACTAGAGTCCGACCGATTAATCGGCCGATATATGCAACTTCAATTTTGTTTTGTTGTTTCAGTACTTCAAACCCCTTAGCAACAAGAAACCTGGAATCTTTAAATTTTTATATGTTCGGGATACATACCAGCAAACACAGTTTATAGCTTCAGGAAAATTTTAAATCTTACCTGCATACTTATACTTATATGACAGGTAAGTTTCCAAAAACAGCAATGATTTATTTTTACTTTTTGCTGGGATTTCCATGACACTGTATTAGTTTTCATTACGTTTATTTTCATACTAAATTAAAGTGTCTATCTATTAGAAATATGTAAACCATTTTTTAAGTGCAGGTAGAAATGCAATTGAAGGCTACCAACGTAAAAAATATATACATTTTTAATACGCTCAGAAAACATTACACGGTTGGCAGGCAAAGCCAACAAAAAGCTAATGGCTGGTTCCTGTAGACATTAGGATGTAAGGTAGATAAGCTCCCCTTAGTCGACGGTACAACTAACTACTAACTTATTGAACCTCAGATCGGGCAAATCCACCATTGGCAAATCCATTTTGACCATACGTCAAATACAGGTAAGGATGCTAGATAAGCAAATCGATAAATAACAGTTCTTAGCCGATTTTAAAGCAGGGATCATGGAGTCGTTTGGAAATTGTTTATTGAGCTGAACTCATTCTCGATAAAAATTTCTAGACAACACCGTTTTGTGATTGCCAAAATGTACAAATGTACAAATCGTGTGATCCCTGCTTAAGAGATTATGCACGGTCAAAAATTTGGGTATAATTTTTAAACCGAGCTGGGACTGCTGCCTTTTTAATCTTGTATAATCTACTTTTTAAACCAGTCAATAGCTTTAAGCAATTTTTAGAATATTCTGGTTTAAATTTTAGTCCCAGCAGCCGAGAAAATGATGTTTTCTATGAGTGGTTTAAAATTAAAACCGAAAGGTTCGTGGTTTCAAATATAGGCCCTGTTTGTTTAAAAATGTTTTAATTCTAATTTCTAGGTTTCATATATAGAAAATTTTGTTTAAAATCTAAACCGAAGTAGGAAATGTTTGGGTTTAAAATTTAAACCGAACTGTTAAATGTTCTGGCAAATTTTTTTTTTATTTTACTTTTATTTCAAAATATTTTGATTAAACGAAAAATACTGATAAAAATAAAATATTTCACACAAACAACAAATAATATAATCGATAATCGCATGAGGCTATTGCCTGAAAATTTTAAAATGCGCTTATTGGCATTGTGCTACTATGATAACACGGCCGAGTAATCATAGTCAACTAATGTACAGTAGTCGAACAAATTATAGCCGCACCAAATTTTCACAAGTTTGAAAACATTATTTTTGCTGTTATTTAATTTTGGTTAGTTTTTTTATAGTTCATTCTTCAAAAACATCCGTATAAATAAAATGTTTAAAGGCAGTGTGGCACGATTGGGTATTTGCCAAAATTTGGTCCAAATCGTATCCCAATTATGTCAACACCCAAAATATTTTTCTTTGCCTCAATCACGAAAATTAATTTGTTGAAATTTTTCAATAG